AAGAGGTGAATCATAGAATCATGGAATTGTTTGTCTTGGGAGGGACCTCAAAGCTCATCTCGTTCCATGCAGGCACACCTTCCACTGTCGCAGGTTGCTCCAAGCCCTGTTCAGCCTGGCCTTAGACACTTCCAGGGATAGGGCAGCCACAGTTTGTGCCTCATATATCTTTCAGGGAAGAATTTCTCCCTAATATCCAGTCTAAATCTTTTCCTTTGATGCCTCCAAGGCCCTTGCTTGGAAAGTCAAAGTGGGATGGTGTGTCCAGGGCACCTGCAGCCCCACTGGCTCTTCAGAGAGGTGATGGAGGGACAAGTGTCTCCTGCGGAGACCCCCTGGGTTGTTTCCAGCAGCTTCTCTCCAAAAGCTGGCATCCCTGCCATGTGCTCCTGACTCTTTTATTTCACATATGTGTGTTTTCCAGAGGACCTTTGTCTCGGCTGCTGTGCCAGGCCCCTGGGATGCAGCCCGTGGCCCTGCAGAGCCTGTCAGAGCTGGAAAGGGCCAGTCTGCAGGAGCTCGCCCTGTACCGGCTGCAGGAGAAGCTGCTCGTGGGGGATTTCAGCCTGGACAGAGGTACAGGGTGGGAGAGAGTGGAGAGGGTGGGAGAGGATGGAAACTAAGGCCCAAGGAGGGCTGAGGCTGAGCCATTAATGGTGCACGTCCCCACTCCAGTCTGCGGGATGATGGTTACGGAAAGACATTTGTGACACATTTTGGTCCATTTTGTTTTTCATTCCTGCTTTGGTCTGAGCCCCAGGGGCTCAGTCAGCCTTTGGAAGGGGTTTGCATGTCCACAGGAGTGTGAGAATGTGACCCTGCCCGTGCCTGCCTCCAATCTCCCCTTAACCCAAACCAGATGTGATGGCTTGGCGAGGTCCCCACTGGGATTGCCTGAGTGCCGCTGGGTTGGGACAGGCTTTGCTGTTTGGATCCACATCCAGCACAAATTCCCAGTGCTGGGAAGGGGCTTATGTGAGACTGGAAGACGCGCTGGGAGATTAATGGGAGGATAAATTTAGGAGCTCCACAGGGACTGAGCATAGGGGCCCTGTCGGGGTTCCCAGGGCTGCCTGTGTCCCCCAACGTCCTCACAGCAAACTCAGTGAGCTGGGCTTCCACTGACTCCTTCCCACACTTACTTGTTACCCCCTTGATGTGCCTTCTCTGCCCTGGGCCATATTTTGGCATCCCAGCAGGGCAGGGGGTGCCTCCAGCTCACCACCTCTGGGGTCATGGGGTACCAGCAGAGGGAGCTCAGAGTTTCCAGTCCCCCCATCACTTCAACAGGGCTGTCACCAGTACCAGGGCAGCTGGGGCTGGGACCTCCCAAGGATGGAGTCCCTGCAGTCTCTGGGGACCTCTCCCAGGGATGGAGCATTTCCCAGTGCCCAGCCTCATCCTGGGCAGCAAGTGACACCCGAGTTTGGTTTCCTGTCTCAATTACTATCGGTAAGGTTTCACGCCATGAAACGAAACTTCATTCATGAAATGGCCTCAAGAAGAGTCCAACAAAGTTCCCCTCTCCCTCCCAGAGCTCCAGTTGCTCCAGGGCTGCAGCAACAGTCCCTGAGGGACTTCGACCACAAACATCCTGGTTCTTTTTATATTTCATTTTATTTTGGGCAGTTGTGATCCCATTTGCAGTGACACCCTGCAGCAGTGGCTTCTCTAGGGACTAGTGCAGTGCCACCCCCCCACCCCCAAACCCAGTATTTCCTTCCTGGCGGGTTAATGTGCTGCTGGATAATTTTTTTGGCTTCTACACTCACGTTCCTCATTCCAGCTGTCACAACTTTCCTCTAAATCTTACAAAATAACCCAAACAACTAGATATAATCTGTTCCTATAAAGGGAATTGCTTAGGAATGAGGAGCACGACCCAGAACAGGGTGATGGTGGATGAGGGGAAGGCTGTGGATGTGTCTACCTGGACTTCAACAAAGCCTTTGACACCGTCTCCCACAGCACTCTCCTGAAAAAGCTGCAGCCACTGCTTGGCCAGGGGCACCCTGTGCTGGGTTAGGAACTGGCTGGAGGGCTGGACCCAGAGAGTGCTGGTGAACGGAGCTGCATCCAGTTGGCAGCTGGTCACTAGTGGTGTCCCCCAGGGATCAGTGTTGGGCCCAGTTCTGTTTAATGTCTTTACTGATGATTTAGATGAGGGGATTGAGTCCATCACCAGCAAATTTGCAGCTGACACCAAGTTGGGGGGAGTGTTGATCTGCTGGAAGGCAGGAGGGCTCTGCAGAGGGACCAGGACAGGCTGGATCCATGGACTGATTCCAAGGAGATGAGGTTCGACAAGGCCAAGGGCCGGGTCCTGCCCTTTGGCCACAACAACCCCCGGCAGCTCCAGGCTGGGACAGAGTGGCTGGAGAGCAGCCAGGCAGGAAGGGAGCTGGGAGTGGGGATGGACAGGAAGCTGAACAGGAGCCAGAGTGTGCCCAGGTGGCCAAGAGGGCCAATGGACGGTGGCCTGGCTGAGGAAGAGTGTGGCAGCAGGAGCAGGGAAGGGATTGTTGGCCTGGACTGAGCACTGGTGAGGCCACCCCTGGAGTGCTGTGTCCAGCTCTGGCCCCTC